TTAGAACTAGTGTCCCTCACTTAAGTAAGGGCACATGTGTCTTTTCCATTATGTTAGTAATATAAAACATGTCTGGCCGAATGGAAGAGGTAATTTTTCTCTCATTCGAACCAGACTTTTCTTCTCTCCTTTTCTCCTCTTTTCTCTCTCTTTCTTTCTTCTTTCTTCTTCTCTCTTCTTGTGCCTAATCTGGGCAGTATTTTGGGCAAGTTGAGCATGAGATATATGCATATATGCATATCATATACTTCAATTCTTAGTGTAAATTCTGAAACCTCCACCCATGTCCTTCTCATATCCAGGAAACATAAATTGCGGAGTTTAACAATATTGAAATGCAGGTCTATTGGGTATGTATTTGGGTATAGTGGACGGTACACTATGATGTTTATATCGGGTCTCAGGCCTTTTTTGTACATTTCCACACTTACAAATTAGTAAACTTGTTTTATTACTCTTCTAAAGAATACTCGGAGAACAATGGAATTTTATTGTTATCTGAACTCTTGAAACTTCAACCAAGTTGAACACTAATTCACCAAACCAACATGCATACGATAAAGAAAAGAAAGAGGTTAGGTAGTGTAAGCATTACCTGGTCAATAATATCATCCAAAGGATTGTTTGGAAGATTCAAGGAACGAATGATGTCCAAAATTTTTGACTTACGCTCCATAGCTCCTTCATATCTAATGAAGGTTAATAAAATAGTCAATCCCATCTACATCAGTTAACCAGTATATAAAATACAATTATTAAGGGGGGGAATGTCAGGGGGGCTATATATTTGGATACCTCTTGAGAAGTTCTGTTAAGTATACATGTCTTGCTTGGAGATACTCATCTGTCTTTTCCTTGCAAGAATGGCATGACCAATCCTCTGGCACTAAGTCCGTCAAAGGTGGCACCAAACATGAAGAATGGACCAGTTGACCACAACAGGAACATTGGAGTAACTTTTTCCTTTCCTAAAGTAAAGTGGTATATTAAGATAGTAAATGGAAGATGGCACCTGCATTCAAACCTTTTAGTAGTAAAAACAAGTTACCTCTTCAGTATTGCAAATTTCACAAATCTGAAACTCGTCATCAGACTCTGTGGATTCCTGGTCAGACTCGGCTGCATAGACCAAAAAGATTTGATTAGTAATATGATTATAACTACCTGATTATTTCTTCATTCCATAATATCTACCAAACCCAAATAAAGGAGAGTCAAAATTTTAAGCCAAATTGCATCCAAAGTATGGTCCATCCCCTTGCATGTTGCACCCTCTTGCATGTTGCACCAGCAGCCGTATAGAGCTAATATGGTCCATCCCCCATTTGTGATCAGTCCCTAAGGTTTATCCCCTAGATTCCAGCTATCCCATTGATCCCAGATATGGCATTGTAGAGTGTTAGTGTCGACTCTATATGGGTAGTTTAGTCCTTTTATTTATGGTCGGTATGAGGTGTAATGTTTAAGTGCTGATGTGTCCCATACTTAAGTAGGGGCATAACAGACTTTTTGTTTTATTTTAGAAAACTATAAATATAACCTGGCCAACTGGAGAGACTTGTGTTTGCTCTCTAGTTCGAACCAGTTTCTTCTTCTCCTCTCTTCTCTTATTTTCTTCCTCTCTCTTCTATCTCCTCTAACCTGTTTCTACTACTATTTCTAACAGAATTCGAATGCAGGTCTGAACTTTATCAAAGAGTAATGTTGGATGCAGCTTGAAGGATGCTCCATGAAGAACCAAGGAGCCAACATATTAGGACTTCATTTCAGAAAAAAGAGAACAATATTAAGTCCGCTCTTTCTGAGCCCATTAGTAAGGTGACTCCTTTGTCGGGCTACCTCTTTTCCATAGCAATCAAAAGGGACTCAGCTAATGCTATCAGCAGGGATTATGCACTTTGGAGTTGTTCCCAACAGCTATCTAATATCCTTAACAACATTGTCTCGAGTATGTAATGAAGTTGGGATATTTCTCTCTATTTGCACCATTGTCTTGAGATACAGAGGGAATCAAGAGTTACTACTGATGATGGCTAATCCAGGGTGGTAGAAATCAATAGTGCATAACAACTAACTAACATAATCTTTGGCATAGCTATATAGCTTGTACAGATTGGGATTGAATCATGTTCTTTCGGTTTGTAACATCCATCTTTTTTTCTTCCTTTCTTATTGATAACTTTGAGAAATTTAGTATGTAAAATAATAGCTTGTACAATCTGCCAAGCATCCCACAACAAATAAAAACTTGTGCATTCCTCTAGTGAGGTTGGCATTTGGTGTGCAAGTTGGGACAGATTAGGTCAAGTTGAGGTCAACCCCAACCCAACCCAAGCTGTAAAACCCTTAACCCTAACTCTAACCCATCGAGTAGAGATCGGGTTGGGTTCTGGTTGGGCTTGGGTTGGGTTCGGGTTGGCCTGCCTTCTCTACTACTATTTGCCAAATGTTCTTATTTCCTAAATGTAAGGGTTAAGGTCAATTCAGTTTTAGCACTATTATATGTAAGAGGATAATAGTCATCATGCTTTTGAAAAATTTCACCTTCAAATTTAAAATTGACATACATAGATACATACATGCAAATAGATAGTTAGATGCATACATTAATGGATGAATAGTTGAACATTTACACATATGCAACATGCATAGGTTGGCCAAGACGGCAAGGCCTCAACCCTAGCCCAACCCAAAGTTAAGTTAGGTTCATACTTTACAACCCGAACTTCAACCCAACCCGATTTTTCAGGCTGGGCTCGAGTTGGCTTGAGCTAACCCAGGAAATTAGATGGGCTCCCCACATAGTGCACCACACACATGCCCCACAGCCCATTGCCCCCATGCATTGGGAACATCTCCCCATGACAAGTACTGGAGGTGTTCCCAATGCACAAGGGCAATGTGTTGTGTGGCGTGTGTAGGGCACGCTCTGTAGGGAGCCCGTCTGAACTCCTTTCCAGCCCAAGTTGCAGCCCGTAGCTGCCATTTTCCCATCCACTTACATTTAGTTCCTTACAGCAGGTTACACCAAAACATCTGTGCTCTCTTCACCCCACGTCTGGCAATGGCATCAGCCGGCACATTTGCTTATCTATAAGTCCAAATAAAAAGTGTGTTCAATTCCAATGCCAAAGCTCTCAGTTCCGTCAAGTAGTTCCAGTATTTCCAAGGGCCATGTTTTTTCTGTTGCAGCCATTCAATCACCAGT